GTGAGCTGAGGTCTAGTTTAGAGCAGGTCTACCCTGCAGGCAACATAGTAGTTTTACAATTCAATGTTAAAAGCACCATACATTATGTTCTCAGAAAGATATTTAATTACTATTTGAGTTCTGGTAAGCACAATTGATAAATGGAAGTTTTGTTAATTGGTACTTTCTTTTGGTTCCAGTGCTTTGCCCAGCCCTGAAGGTAAAAGCCACTGTTAGTAGTGACCCTAAGATGTAAGTTGAAATTTTTCGACAATTATGTACTTGCTACTACATAACTTGTAACGCAACGATATCGTGGATGAGGACATCGGCAAGATAAAACAGTTTTTTGAGGGTACAAAAAAATCAGTGTGTGCTGTATTTTCGAAGACCATCGTTCATGCTCGGCTAAAAGCTTTCTTAGATCTACCTGCACATCTCTAGCAAGTTCAGATTTTCTCAACTAAAAGATCCAGCATAGGCTTCTTCCATTTTTCATTTTTCCGCCTTGCTTTGGGTCATCTCTTTTCCTGGCAAGGACATAAAGTTTTAATCTATGCTATCGTGTTTTCTTTCTGATGCAAATGGTTTGACCTTTCTACTTCAAGCTGCTAATGATTTTTCCTTTAAGCAGGATTCAAGATAGGTATTTTAGGCCTCTCTTGGAGTTTGATATAATCATTTTTGCGCATGTGGACTGGGCACATGTAACTGGATATTGGCGTTCTGAAGCTCAAATAAGAAAATGAACTCGGTCTTTGCACTAGGCTATTTGTTTCAATTGCACCGACTCTTTCCCCTGACTGATCTGATCGACAAAAACATTGTGCAGAGCTTCTCCTTGACGGCGAGTCTACGCTAGAAGGCCAGGAAATCCTCTTGTTCAGGACTCCGCCTTAGAAGTTACCACTTGCAACAGATACATGCCCCCCTGCATTGGGGTGCATGTGACACTATACCTTTCCTTCTCTTGAAAGATGAAGTTGAGCCAAGCATGAAGATTGTTGCTGTCACTGCTTTACATTCATGACCTTCTGGTTTTTAACTGAGGGATAAAAGAACCAGTGGTTTGGCATCCTATTTAGTTTTCCAAGTTCTGAATTGGCTTTTGCTTGGTTTATTTTGACATCTAAAATTAGATGTACCATTGTTTGATGTCGAAAGTGCTTATCCTTTTGTTGACTTCAAAAGAGCTTATCCTTTTGTTGCCTTCCATTCATGCTTCCTTCATCGATAACGATTGATAACAATGTTGGATTGTCTTCTTGTGCAACTGCATCGTGCAGGACTTGATTAAGCTTTGAATAAGTACGATTATGCCTCAGGTGAAGGCCTGTGAAGGTTGCAACCGGAACTTGTCATGACTCATCTGCCTTGGTTGCCCAAGTGCGCCAGTATTGGCATGTCGAAAGATAAATAACAGGATTAGAAATTTGAAAAGTACACTTGTACTAATCAGCAATTGAAAATGTAATAGTACTACCATCTATCAGCACAAACCGGGAGGTAATAATTTTAATATGAACATTGAAAGGGTACAAACTCAATAATTAACTTGTAATTAGCACAAGAATTAGTCAGTTAGGCTATAAATATGCAGGTGCACACAGATTCTAGTGGAGCAAATTACTCAGCTACTCACTAAAGTTTTCAAAAGGTAAGAGTTTTCTTTGTTACTCAACTTTTAAAGTATGTATCCGCTCACTAAATTATCAAAAGTATAGAATTTAAGTGCCATTCCGTCTATTTTCACTATTAACTCGTCAAATTTAGAGACTTGCACGATAGTTTAATGAGTAAATAAGCAATCGCACGATGATTTAGTGGCTAAATACATACTCACACAATAGTTTAATAGGTAAATACATTCTATGTTTATTAAATTGCCACTTAGTTATATTTCGTGATTCGTGACCGACTTGACGATGGAAACAGACAGAATGATTCAAAATTTATCCTTTTGATAGTTTAGTTTTTTTTTTTATTGGATACGATAGATCTACATTTATTCTATACTATGTGGGAGGGGGAATCTGAAGAGGTCCTAAGAGAAATCGGAGGGAACTGAACCACCTACTGGCCAGCATAGCCACTTGAAGTGGCCTGCCACATTTAGTGGCAAATGGTGGGAGGTCATCCCACCAAGTCTTGAGGCTTTGGTGGTGGCCACTAAGCTTAGTTCAATGGTTGATAGTTTAGTGAATAAATACATATTGTTTTTAAAAATTGAGTCACCAAAATTGAGTAGGAGAGATAATGGAGTAGAAGATTGTGAGGTGAAATAAAAAAATTACTTTGTGTATTTATAGGAAGTAAAATAAATTATCCGTTGCTAAAATATAGCCATTGTAAAAAAAAGGACGTTGTAAAATGGTTGGCTCCAAAAATGGTCGTTATAAAATGTTTCAAAAAATGACCAAGTAAAATGCTGTCTCATTTTGGCTATTTGAACATTTGCTGGTGTTGTCATGTCATTTGGATCCCACAACATCTCCCATGACATGTATCATCAGTATTGTGCGTGTAATCTCTATGACACGGCCTCCAATGGGAGACCGTGTCATTAGAGGTGGCAAAATGGGCGGGATTTGCTTGGGTTTGAGATGGAACCAAGTCATATGGGTTTGGGCCCAACCTTACCCATATGTGTTTTGGGACTAACTTGGGCGGGATCATTTTGGGATGGGTTTAGATTGATCCCGCCCAATACCCAAATCCATTTTCTACATATTTTTTTTCCTTTAATTCATTTTTTTTAATATAATTTTAATATTTTTGATTTATTAAATTTCTTTTAGTTTTATTAAATAAACATGCAAGTGCTTTATACTCAAGATTCCCACCAAAAATTGGATTAACAAATAAAGGAAAAGATAGATATACAGCCATATTCCAACATATATCAAGATGGCCAAGGTCCTTAGGATGTTGAATATTTAACCTTATCATTGTCCAAGGATGACAGATTTAAATTAACTGAAATGCTGGAAATTCTTGTGGATAATGACTAGGAAGACTACTAGATTATATTCGCTGGTATGACTATAAAAATTGTTAAAGATAATTTTTGAATCTAAGATTCCGTTTGGATTGACTTTTTTTTCAAAAAATAAGTTTTTCAAATTCAATGTTACAGTAATATACAATAACTCAAGAAACATCCCATCCATATTAATATATCAAATATTTCAAAAAAATTTTATAGTAAAAATTTTTCATATACACTGCTACAATAAAATATTTCAAAAACATCTACCAAAAACAGCTAATCCAAACGGAGCCCTTGCCATTTGAGCCCAATGGGTACCCAAGTATTTCTCATCCTTTCCCATTCATTAATGGGTATAGTTGGGATGTGTCCCAACTTAAACCCAATACCAAATTATAATACCCATCCCGCCCAAAGTTCCTTTGGGCATGGGTAGCCCATTGGGACTTGGGACAAATTGCCAGCTCTACGTGTCATGGAGCCGTGTAATGGGGGCATTATATCCCCTATTATACATTGCTGGGATGCTCTAAGCTTAGCTGTTGTCTGTTGATAGTTTAGTGAATAAATACATATTGTTTTTAAAAATTGAGTCACCAACACTCTATTGTTGAAAAAGCTTAATGGGTGCCAGCTAATTTGCTGGATTCTAATGTAGTGCGTAACAATCAGTGCCGCTGTCTGAAAGGGCTGCGTAAAATGGCTGTATCTTCTATTTCAATGAATCCAGGCTGTATACAATTCTTCCAGACAAAATCAAGTTGGACAATTAGAATAATAATGTACCGAAAGAAAATTGACTGGTGGCTAAAATATCAATGCTTCATTGGTGATACACCTAATCTTTAAGGTCTTCAAATCAATTCAAAGTCAAATCTGAAAAGTTATTCTTGCCACGTGAAGGCAAGAGAGAACTCCAACCCTTTTCAATTTTAGACTAAAGCAATATGCATGTGGATTTAGCCCCAAAAGTTGGCAACAACCAAAACCTGATTTCCATTTACGTGGCACCAGAGCAATTGGTGCCCCGTTCCTTGGTCCAATCACCTACTACTTTTCTTCTTTAGATTATTATTCTTTGGGCCTAATTTCCAAGTTATAATAATATTAGCTTAGTAACTTCAAGATTTATCAAAGTGGTTTGACCTAATTCCCTGAGGCATTCAAACATTGCATAGGGATTTGGAACGGCAGTTGAGCCCATGAAGCAACATTGAAAATTTTTTGGTTTCTTCCTTTTCCCATTCATAGATTATTAGTTTATTATCCCCCTCCGTTTCATTGTTAATATTATTTCTTTTAACTTTATTAATATTTTAAAATAAGAGTTATCGTTTTAAATTTAACAGTGCTTTCTAATCTTGTCATTTGAAAAAATAACATTTTAAAATTACAATACACATTTAACAAGAATATATTGTGAATTCAAAAGATATATATAAATTCACTAGTATTTTCTCATCTAGATATGATGATTTCTGCGTCTTAATAAAAAGTTAGATTTTCAAAACACTACTCTAATATTGGGAGGGAGGGAGTATATAGATGGTGAAATCAATCAAAAAAGTATATCCTAGTTTTAAATTGTTATTGTGATAGATTACAAAAACTAAAGCATCAATTGATGCAAAATGATTTTTAGGTGGTACATCTGCAATAGACAAGTTAAAGAGTTGATGGTGACACAAAACTAAAACAAAAGAGAAACGTGCTTTTCATTATTAATTTATTGTTTATCTAATTATTTTTAGACAATTACTTCTCTAATTAACTGTAGCACAAAGCAACAAGTCAAGAAAAAAGAAATAATTTTAAATTTTAACAAAATGTAACGCACAGAAAAAAAAAAAAAAGGAAAGATGACCTGTTAAAGTTTCGGTTGATCTGTTTCATTTAATGCTTTATTATTTCCATTTCAAAACTTAATTAATCTCTCCTTAATTGCCTCCTTAGATATTTAATTGCAAAACGAGTTGCTTTAAACCTCAAAACCCTTTCTTACTTTTTCTAACAGGTTTATAAAAGCTCCCCATATTTAGGAAATCTCCTCTAAACCCCTTGTATAAATAAGCATAGTGATAGATTTAGCTCTTTTCTTTTTCTTAATTTGTTCATCCAAAATATGAAAAGTTTTCAGCCAAATTCAAAATCCCACCATCCATCAAGGCTTGTAAATCTCATGATAATCTCCTGTTTTCTGTTTCTACTCTATCTCCTGTTCTCATTTCTCTTTTTCCCAAACTCAAAAAACCTGAATTTATCAGGTTCTCTACAGGATTTATCCTCCACAACATCCCTTGAACATATTGTATTTGGGATTGCCTCTAATGAAAGATCATGGTCCAAAAGGAAAGAATATGTCAGGCTATGGTGGAGACCTCAGATAATGAAGGGATGTGTTTTTCTGGAAGAAAAGCCACCAAATTCTACATCTTCTGAAAATGATCAAATTTCTCTGCCTCCAATATGCATTTCTGGTGACACTTCCAGATTCAGATACACCTTCAGGAATGGTCGAAGGTCAGCGATTCGCGTAGCTCGAGTGGTATCAGAAACCGTGGCACTGAACCACTCTGATGTTAGATGGTTTGTTTTTGGAGATGATGATACGGTTTTCTTTCCTGAAAATTTGGTCAAGACCCTGTCGAAATATGATCATGGCTTATGGTATTACATCGGGACAAATTCAGAAAATTATCAGCAGAATAAGGGTTTCTCTTTTGATATGGCTTTTGGAGGAGCTGGTTTTGCTATAAGTTATCCCCTGGCTAAAGTCTTGGCGAAACATTTAGATTCTTGCATCGATCGATACCCTCATCTGTATGGCAGTGATGGCAGAATTCATGCCTGTTTGACAGAACTTGGAGTTACATTAACTCATGAGCCTGGATTTCATCAGGTATCGATAATTTTGTTCATAAAAAGTTCAATCTTGTATTCTCTTTTCCTCATCTGATAAGAGGCTAATTTAGTTCACATCAAACTCTGCTTCAGATGGATGTTCGAGGTAATATTTTTGGGTTATTGGCCGCGCACCCGACTAGGCCGTTGGTGTCTCTCCACCATCTGGATGCAGTAAAGCCAATTTTTCCAAAAATGACAGCAATGGAAGCTCTGAAACATTTGCTGGAAGCCACAAAAGTTGATTCCCAGAGGACTTTGCAGCAAACAGTTTGCTATGATAGATGGTTTTCTTGGACACTTTCTGTTTCTTGGGGATATGCTGTTCAATTGGTGGGGTTCAACGAATTTCTGCCGGATGCTGTGCGCATGCAAGAGACTTATGTACCCTGGAAAAGGGGTCCTCTGTATGTTAACCATAATCTGAATACAGCAAAATATCAGCCTGATCCATGCAAGAGGCCAGTTGTTTTCTTTTTTGACAGGGTTTCCTCTAGCAGAGATGGAATAGCATCCATTTACAAGAAAACGGAAAATAATTGTACTTTTGACAAAATACAAGAAGTCAGAGTGTTTTCGAAGAAGTTAGACCTTGACATTAAACAGGTATTCTTTGTTCTTGAAGAATTTTTTTTTTTTTGCCAAATTTAAGGTTGAATTTAGTTTTCAGAATTGTTATTTTATCTCCCTTGTAAATTGCAGTTGCAGGCACCAAGAAGACAATGTTGTGACGTCTTGCCATCTTCAGCTGATAGGGTAATGGAAATCAATATTAGAGAATGTGGAGCGGAAGAACTAATTTATATGCATGCTTAGTCCTATTCTTTGGCTCTCTACCCTAGAGTTAGTGATGCACAATCTGTGAGCTAAGTGGGGCTGTGGTTAGGAGTGTAAACGAGTCTAATCAAATTGAACAACCTAGTACTAAGATTGTTTGATTATTTTAATGAGTTTAAGATTTTATTTAAGTTTGATTTATTTAATTGTTGAATTAAACAAGTTTTTATCGAGTCGAACTCGAGTTGAGCTCGAGTGATTTGAAATTTTTACATATAAAATTTAATTTTATATTAATCGAATCGAGTTTGAGCTCAAAGTTTATAAAATATAAAACGTTGTTCAAATTTGAATTAATTAGTTGGCGAGGTAAACTTGAATGAACACTTACCTTACCTAATTGAGTTCGATTCGAGTTTTGGATTCATCAAGGGAGCTTAGCGTGTGGATTTAGGCTTACCACTTGATTTATCCTGTGGATATTTGGGTCTAGAAGATTGAGCCCATGAGTTAAACACTAGGCCCATGTTAATTTGGAAAATGGACACAATCAATCAAGTCCAGAAGCCCATATGTCAATTTGGGGTACTTCAACACTTGCCTCCAGGCTCTTGCTGGTGGGATTGTAGTTTATGTTTTACAAGTCGAGCCCAGGAAAATTGCCCCTAACAGGTCCTTGTAGGAGAACAGGGAAGAAGGCTGAACATTCAAGAGATAGGAGATGGAGGCCTTTCAAAACTTCTTCTAGGATTCATATAAAACTCAATTTTTTTTTTTGACCATCTTTGTTCCATTTAAAGTGTTATACATTCGTTTTGAAATATTTTAAAATATTTATCATGTTGAAAAAAATCAAAATTCTTTTAGTCTCTTTTTCAAAATCTTCCCTTCCTTAAATTGTTTATATGTTATATTCAAATTCAAAGTTTGAATATTAAGGAATATAATTGGAAGGAAAAATATAAACATCACATTCAAATAATTATTTTTAAAAAATTGGATTCTTGAAACACAACAATAAAATTAGATAGAGGAAGTATAATTTAACTCTATAGAAGAAAGCACGTAAAAGAGCCTCTGTTATTTTGACCACAAGCATTTAATGAGCTCAATTAGCTCGTGAATCTATCAAAGGTAAATCAAATTCCACTTTGATTAGCATCACTTTTCTATCTCTATGCTACAATCCCTTGATTAATTGAGAAATGTAGACATGATTAGTTGACGAGATCTTTAGTTTAGTCCCTAATCCATGTCGTAGAATTTTGTCTTTTTTTTTGTGTTAAATAAATGAGAAATGTAGATAGGTAACCTGCAACCCTCTGTCTATCACTTCAGTTGGTTTAACTATCAATGACAAAGTTCGAATATGATATTAAATGCTCTATAGGTTCATATGCATATTTTTAATTAAACATTATGTGAAAAGATTAGTCAAACTAGCTTGGCGTCTCTTAATATGAGAATCCCTCTTTTCCTTTTCCCTTTTTTAAATCTCACACCTCCTCTGTTAGAAAAAAAAATTTAAACAAAACATGATATGAATATCTGTAAGGGTATATAAAAATTTAGAGTTTTTAGAGGACTGGACTAAGCATTTGGAGTTTCTTGTTCCCTATAGCAATTATTTTTTGGTTTACTTGCATGGGGGCAATTAGAAGGGACTGAAGAATTAGGATGCTCCAATGAGATGGCCTACAAAAGTTTTCCTGATCGAAGCCTCAAGAAAAGACTCTGAAAAGAAATGTAGACCACTTTTCTGGACTATGCCTGCTTCTTGTCAATCATTAACATCTACAAATTACTCGTAAATTAGCTAATATTAAGAGAGAGTCTAACTAGGCTGAGAAAAGCAACAGAGAGAGAAAATCAGATCAAAAGGGGTGCACTACTGGAAGAGAAATGGTCTATTAGGACAACCACCAGTGCGTTTTTTCCTTGAACGTTAGAATGAGGACCTAAACAGCTTTAAAAACAAGACCAAACTGTCAGTAATTAGAGGTAGACTATTTTGAGATTTTGGAACTTAACAAGCGTAACTTGGCAAAATCCCTTAAATCCAAACAAAAGCAAGTGCCATGTGGGATGCAGGCCAAGAACGTTTGTCAATGCCGATCATTCAGAACAGTATAACGTTTTTTAAATAACTTATAACTATATCTTAACTGTGTATATACACTTATACAAGAGTGTAATATTTTGTTACTATTCACGTGGACTCATATGTAACAATTATGTGTCTGTTATGAAAGTGTACAAGTAGTTCACATAAAATTACAGAAGTAGTTCAAAAAGTATTGTATCATTCCAAACTGTTGTCACTGATAATCATCTGTGCCCGAGTTCATGTGAACAATTGATACAATGATGATTTTCTTTACCGAATGACAACCATTAATTAGCAGGATTGGCCTTTGTTTTTTTTAGCAATTTAATGTACTTCCAGCGCTAGCAAAGAAACTAGTGAAATCCATCAGATCATCTTGCTGATTGAGCCGTCGGCTTAATTTGGTGCTTTGGCTTGGGATGTACACAAGATTTTCCAATTTTCCAGACTTGAATAGAGAGTTGGAGTAAGTTTCATTTGGCTTCAAATATAGATCAGAATATCCAACTTCTAAGTACAGAATTATCAAGAAAGAGCTGAGCAAGTTGATCTTATTTTATACCATAATAGCATAAGCCATGCTATGAAGAAAGTGGCATAAACTCTACAGATGCCAGACTTCTCGTATTAGTTGCTTGTAGTTAGCTGGTGTGCAAATTTGGTCCCTTCCAGTCCAATTTGACAGATTGACACACACACACACACACACACTATCTCTCACATATATATATATATATATATATATATATATATATATATATATATATTTGAAAATCAAGTATAATTGGCTGAAATAAAATTCTTTTTTAATTTCTATTACCCCTCTCACAGTTGCCCACATCCTTATCACCTTCCACTGTGAGGTCTATAATTCACAACCTAGACTGAGAGGACCTATAAAAGTTGAAATGTATGTTGTATGTTGTATACAAGAAAGTGCAGATTGGCAATGCCCCTGTACCTACCAATCCTTTTCCAATTTTTCCCAAAAAAAAAAAAAAGAAAGACGTCGATTATTGTTTCTGGTTTTTGTTATGGAAAAGAAAAAAAAAAATCCCCAATCGATTACTCTAATTTTGATAAAGTGGGAGGAAGTAGTTTGTTATAATGCTTTCATGTCGTGTTTTATATTTTCATTCTTAATTTTTTTTAATACCCCCCAAGCATTCTCATATCCTTTTAATCTACGATTGTCAAGTTGAATTCTGAACGATAGTAAAAAAAAAACTCTAAGAATTCTTTCCTTAAATTTTCATTCTTACTTCATTGCACATGTACAACATCAAACGTATCGAAGGATACCTCATACACTGTACCAAGAACTAGCCCAGTATTAACCAGAAATTTTCTTTTCTTTTCCTTGAGTATACCATCAATGTAAAACAATTACGTAGATGTTTAACATGTGTGCTATCAGAACTTTAAAAAATTACCAGAAATCTAGACCTACTTGTATGAATTTTTTAAAATGCTAATGGCGTTTAAAATCGTAATCCAACAAAAAAAATAATAATAATAATTAAGTACCCCTTATATCTTCCCATCTTGCTATCCTCAATTCTAAAAAATGCTCAGAGACATGAGAACCTAAAGTATATAGAACACAGTAAATCCGGCATTGATACCATAATTGTTCATAAGAACCTAAACAGTTAAAGAAACAGACCAAACTGCAGTTGTTTGGAGGATAATTTATTTTGAGATTTGGGAACTTATGTACGCAATTGGATAGGCAAAATCCTTCAAATCCAAACAAAATCAAATACTGAGCACTTAATTATATTGATTAGCATAAACTAAATTGTCACATTTTTACTAGATTACTTGCTCTATCTTTTGAAGAACAATATAACCCTTTTCTTTACTGAATGATACTGCTTCATTAGCAGGGATCGTCTTTGTTTTATGCAGTATTTTTTTTAAAAGGATGGCCTTTGTTGTTAGCAATATATTGTATTTATAGCAAGATATTGTACTTACCTAATAAGGATTGCCCCCACGGTTAGCTCGGCTGGGACTGGTAAGTCCGTCTTTATGGTAATTGTAAAATTGTTGGCATCCTTGGGTAGGGCTCTGCTGGTCTTAGGGGGATTAGTCTGGCAAAAAAAAAGGTTGGGACACCCCCTAAGTAAAAAAAATAAAAAAAAATAAGGATTGCCCATTTCATTTATTGAGGAGTAACTTCTAAGTCAGTAAGGTTCCGTTTGATAAAACTGAATCTGAATTCTGAAGTCTGAATTCTGAAATCTGAATACTGAAACAATTAATTTGCTGAATTTTAAGCACTGAAAAAAATATATGAATGTCTGAATTTTAATGCTAAACCTATTTATACTGTTTGATAAATATTTATAACTGAATGCTTAATAAGTTTAATTTGATAATTTTGCCCTTATATCCTTTCATTCAAAAAAGAAATAGAATCTATGATTTAATTAGTTTAAAATTGTTAGGTATGAAAATGACAATATTTATTTTTAAATCAAATTAATATAAAAGATGAAATATATTATATGATAAGTATGGAGAAGATGTGAAAGTCATTAAAAAGGGAGAAAAGAGAAACTAAAAATGTTAGATAGAGAATATTAGGTTGTTTAATTAGATAAGAATTTTGAACATAATTAACAAACAATGGTAGATTTGGTAGATAAGATAAGATAGTTGAAGTAACTCTATTAATTCTTATCAGAATTAAGCATTCAGTTTGGATTCTTGTGCTGAAAAAAATACACACAAGTTCAGCACTGCTTAACAAGTTCAACAAATAGATTTTCATTTATCAAACACTCAAAACATCTGAATGTCTGAAAAAATTCAGATTCAGCACTTTTTTATGTTATCAAACATACCCAAAGCCGCCACAAATTAACGTGGTTGGACTGTACTAAGAACAAGTTGATTTTAGTAGGACAAACATTTTCACGATAAATGTTCGATTTGTACATTTGGGATTCATTCATGCAAAAGCAGAAGTAACATGTTTTTTTTTTTTAATTGGTTACTATATGTACACCTGCCCACACTTTCATATTTCTTTCAAAACTTCTCCATGTTGTACTCTTCTAGAAAATAGCAAATTATTCCTCTAGCAAAAGCCGAATTCAAGAATTGGAAAAAACGCATAATACCCAAAAATGTTTCTCCAACAAATTTCTTGTTTAATCGCTTGCATTGCGTTTAGGCATTGTCAAATTCCCGAGGATGGTATAGCACTTATAATTTTGTTGATACAGGCACCTTCGTCTCAATGCAGCCTGCAATTTGAGCATACTTGCACGCACTTAGCACCAAACTGAACACCATCACCAGCTTTTACCTGGCCAACTAGATCGAACATTTTAATCAAAGAGGACACACACGACCAAAGAATAAATAGGAATAGCTGTTCAGATCAGCCTCATTTCCATTTGATTATTTGACTTTTCCTTCCACATGATGTATTCTCTGTCCCATTACAAGATTCACCAACTTTTATTTTTCTTTTTTCTTTTTATTTTTGCTTGTACGAAGATGTATTATTGTTTTCACTATCCTATAGAATTATAACACTTTTTTTTGGGCAGAAACTGAAACGAGGCTTGTTTTTTATCTTGTGACCAAGGGATCAGCGGTATAAACGATTGTCAGTAATAACCGTTCCGAATGGTATGGTATTTTTTAAATAGGATGTAATTTTATGCGAACTAATTGTAAAACTTTACAATAAAAATGTAATTAGTATGAATGAAATCTATATGAACATTAAC